TTACAACAGGCTATGGCAGGCCATTTTAATATGTATTAGTTTGACTTAAGTATTTCTGATATCTTAAATACATTTTTTCCTTGTTAAAATGATCATTTTAAACAAAAAGGTCCAGTAACCGAACATTTCGATTCATCCGCTTGTTGCTTCGGCATCCTTCCAGTTGGATTACAGTAATACTGTGAGAGAAAGAAGGACTGTCAACTGGAAGTCCATCACTTTGTTTAGCAGTAAAAGAGAACAAAATATAGGGAATGGAGGAAACTAAATGAACTGAAAAATAAGACCACCTATTTACCACTGCACAGCATATTTACAGAAAAACTGTATAGAATAAATTAAACATTTCTGGACCTTTAGAGACACCAGGAAATTAATTTAAAAGCGCAAAAAGTGGATTTTGCATGATATCTCCTCATCCTAGCAAATTTGGAAGTTAGACACATGAAGTCCAGTTTGGTAGAGTTTTATCAATTCATGCAGTATTGCATGATCTGATCTTTAGCGATAGTGGAAAGATTGGCAGCTGCTTTCATTGTTTTCCAAGAGTTAATAATCTATCTGCAGGAATGTTGACCTCGAGTATTTTTAGGGCTTGTCTTTTGGCTAAAAATACTGCCAAAACTAGCTTTCACTGACCAGCAGGCCTTATTTGGTAGAGTTATTGAAAAGCTGATGATCACACTACAATGTTTTTTATGTTTAATAAAACTAAGACCCTTTTGTACTGATAATACAGTCATAGTTATGATTACCAGAAAATTGAATTGTGTATCAGAAAGTGTTGGGGGTCAGCTGTGATCTTCAATAATGCAAAACTGATGGACTGCAAGTTTAGCAAACTTGCATGTTTTTTTGTTGCTCTTTTCTACTGGCAACAGAAATGTGTCCTTGAATGATAGGGTTTGCATTTGGCTGACAGTGAGCTCTTTCCGTCAGGGAAGGCAATTAAGCCCCAACATCATCTTTTCTGACTCATCATCACCGAAACTAAAGCCTCCACTTCGGCAGGTAATGAGGAAACCCTGCGAGGGATTTGCAGGCCAGTTAGGTATCCTGCTGAAAGTCTTATTTGGGATTTCTCTGCATAATATTCAGCATTTCTTTTTTTTTTTGAAATCTGGATTTAGAGGGAGATTGTCAAGGTCCCATTCACCTCACCTACAGTGGATGGAGTTGAAGGACTATGGATTTTTTTTTTTTTTTTTTTTTTTTTTTTTTGTGGAGCAGCAGCTAAAGACTTTTACATTTATTCTCCCTAAGCAGTTTTAAAGAAAGACATTTCCTCTGAAGGACAGTGGAGATAAAAGTCAGAAACACAGGGTTTGAGTAGCTGCAGCAGCAGGATGAAGGCTAGAGGAGAGTCATGAAGATGAACCACCTCCAGATCCTGACCCCTGTCCTCCAGCAACTTCATTACTAATTGTTCCCTGCTGAAAGTGATGGTGCAAACTCTGGCTTTTGCCACTTCCTGAGTCCTGCTCAGCTGGGGTTAGACATTTTGTCAAGTGTTTTCTGTCTACTGTGCTCCAGGAGCACATTCTCCCCGTTATTCTTCATAATTTCCAGTGACCTCTGAGTCAATGATTGATTATTAATGAGAGTCTTCTGAAGAAATCATCATCAAGTCAGAATCCCTGTGAAGTAAAGCTAACAGCCCTGGTTTTTCAATTTTCTCATTGTCTCTCAGGAGTATTTTTAGTCATAAAGCAGAAACTAAGAGGCAATAGTTAAGGATAGACAATTTAAATGTCTTTAATTAATATTCTAATCATGCTTTGAATCATTTTTTCAAAATTTTTTTTATTTGTCCCTTTGTGACATCTCTAAATTTTCAGGGTAGTGTCGCCATTGTCTTTTTTTCCCAATGGAGTCATTTCATATAAATTTGTAAAGATGAGCCCCTGTTTTTATGTTACAGTAATTTAAGCTTGTTTCCCTTTTTTTTGTCATCTTCTAATATATATCAGCTTTTCATCACTACACTGCAAAAAACAATCTATTAAGTTAAAAATTCTTAAATTAATTCTTAAAAGTGTATTTAGCCTTAATTTGAGCAGGTAAATTTGATGATTTGCCAATAAAATTTGTTTTTTCCTCTTAAATTAAGATAAATAGATAATAGGCACATCAATTAAGACATATTTTAGATGTAAATTGTCTTGTTCCAATGGCAAAAGTGCCTCGCTTTCCTCCTCAATTCAAGAAAAAATAGACTTATCTTAAGTAAAAATTACGTATTTAGATGTACATTTTTGTAATTTACTGTTGGTTCTTTAAGGTTTGATTCACCCTTTGGCATTGTTGTATTTTGGTTTCATCTTTTTATGATTTTTGTTTTATACCACCTTGTAAATGAATTGCTCTTTATCAACATCCAAATCGAAGTGATGGCTCATTACCAGGCATCTGCAAAGTTGAATGTCTGAAATTAAGCCAACTGATTCAGGTGTGTTGGAGAAGGGATACATAAAAAAACTGCTCTCCAGAAGACTTGGGCACCCTGGTAAAAGGCAGGTGGACAGGTGGAAATTAAACTTGTATATATAATGCATATCTAAGAACAAAAATAAAGCCTCTCTAAATCAGAACACCATACCTACAGTGATGCATGGTGGTGGCAGCATCATGCCTTAGGGATACAATACTTCCCTAAGGCACTTCAGTGAGTCATAAAAAACGACAAATAATTACATAAATAAAACCCTCAGGTTTCTGCTAGAAAGGCATATTTAAGGAGGCCCTTCAGTGGGTAAAGAACTAAAATCATGCTTCAGAATAAACAAAAAGAAGGCTTTGCAGGACATGCACTATAATTTGACAGTTAGTGGTTTAATTTCACACTATGGTGAAATAAGTTATGATTTATCTTGTTTTTTTTTTTACACAAAAATAGTTTTTCATCAGGAGTTTGTATATCTGTCGTGTAATTGTTCATCTCTGCCCTGTAGGAATTTTTCTGATACCTCCTTAACATTTTATGTGCAATATTGATACCAAAGCCTGTATCCATCCACTAAATTTAAGGTTTTGGGTTATGAGTTCGCTGTGAAATAAATTTACATAAATGTAGAGAAAGGTTAAATAAATATTTAATTCAGATTAGATGTCTGAGTTATTTACAAAGAAAAGGAGTAGATGTCAATGACACATCCTAATTGGGTTGGAAATACAGACTTCTGTCTGTACGTGCGTTTCTGTGTGCTGTCCTGCAGAGGAACCTCCAGTCCAGTGCTGTGGTAGCAGCTGTTGCTAGTGGGACAGGAGCCAGGTAACTAGGGTGCATGCTGGGACAGCAGAGGAGGGCCAAGAGTTTGATTCATGGGGATCCGGGTTTGAGTGAGAGCCTGCCTCCACACACGCATTCTCCTGGCATGGTAGATGTCCGGCTGGCAGCGAGTCAGCGGCGGGCTGCCCTGCAGAGCAGGGGAAGTGGACGGGCGGTGAGCTGCTGTGGAGTCTGACAGGAGGACAGACTCTCAGAGAAAACCACCACAGACTCAGGACCATTATTACCCATGGAGGCCAAAGGTGCCATTCTGTTCCAACAGAGAATTTAAGCTGATTGCTCCAAGATGCATAAATTTGCTTCTGTGTTTTTGGACATTTTAAAATGCGAGAAATTCTTAAAAGGAATAAAAAATTGCTCCATAAAGGTGTCATAGGAGAGCTATGAACTATAAAGATCTTATTTAAGCTGTATTTATTTGCTACATATGGATATACCACTCTCAGGTTGTCTTTAGGTGCAAAACATCTCTGAGGGTTTTTTTTCTGTATTACAATACTCAAATATTGAGCACAATCTGTGCCAAATGCATGTGCAAGCACTTTAGCTCCACAAGTGAATCAAATGTTCCCCACTGCAGATAAAACAGTCTGCACTCTGCTCTGGAGGCTTTCCCACTGCGGCTCCTGCATCAGTATTCCAGGTCCATTCATGGACACAGCGTTCCCAGAGACGACAGCAGCAGAGCCAGCATCCTTGCACTACTTCAATCACACCACCAGAGGGTTTTGCCATTTCATTCAAAAGCACTCATCTTTATTTTTTTTAAACAGCTGTGCCCTGTACTGAAGGTGTCTGACGAATGGGGTTCACAAACTGTAAACCTTAATCGTTAACTAGGCAGTAAAGATGGCGTTAATAGCAATTAAAACCTAATAAAATTAGCTCTTATATTTCCATAATATTTAATGCAGTTCAAACTAATTAGATTCAAAACTTGAGCAACTGTTTAAAATGTTTTTAAACCATTTGTCAGATATGTCCCAAAGTGTTTTCCCTGTTGAAACTTACAGACCAGTGATAAGAACCGGTGGGCTTGTTTTATATTTCTGCCTTATGAGCACTTGCAAAGGTTGTTTTTGTATTAAGATCCCAGTTGCATAACTCTACTTGAAATCAATATTCCAATTGAATACTTTGTTCTGTAGAAAGTTGAATGTGCTGAATAAAAGAAAATGCTTAAGAGAAAAACTGAGGTTCCATGGTAAATGCATGTTCCGATTTATTTGGCTTTGCAGGAAAAGTGCAAACTGAGTCTACATGCAATTTAGGTAGAAGCCCTGTGCATCTGATCATAATGTGGCTGTTTGAAAAGATCCAATCACAGAAGCTTGACCACGCTTGGGTGTAACAATAACTCCATTTGGAGGCGTTACGTCAATCTTGGTACCCTATGCATTGACTGCTCCCTGCCAGAACAAGCTCTGTAGATGCTAAAATTCTACATTAGACCAAATCTGGAGTCAGGTTGGAAATGATCAATTATCTTTAGAGTAAAAGTGAGTCTTAAACTGTATTTTTAATATCTAATTTTGTACTTTTAACAGTTCCTTCCACAACTCCAAATTATTGAGACATCACCATATTATATACTACATTTCTTTGGATACCTCGATTGTCAGTTATGTTTCTATGGTGTCAGAACTTGAACCCTCAATCCTCAGGGCTGATCAACACATCTTAATGTAATATAAAAAAACCCACAACTTTCTTTTTTCCTTTTTTATTAAACTCTGCAGAAAGATGTTTACAGTCAGAGCAAAGGCATCCTCTGTAGTCAGGGCCTTTAAACAGTCTCCTCCTTGGTGATGCGGTCCTTCTTGAGTGGTCCCTGTAGCAGACAAAAAAAACAAACAAAAAAAAAAAATCAGCAACAAGCAGATTGAGAGAACATTTTCTTTGGGCTCAGAGTGGCAGATGTTCCCAGAGAGTGAACAGGGAGCCAGCACAAACAGGCACTGCTCCCCTGCCTCACTGGAGATCACTGTGGCACTGGAATGGAACCCAAAGTTCATACTGAAGACTGAACCAGGTTACGAACAGTGCGTAGCAACTGCTGATGCTCCTTTTAAGTTTGTCCATGTATATTTGCAGACTGAAGCTTTCAGTTTGAAAGCCAAACATTTTTCCAAAAAAAGCAGACAATTTACCATAAAGTTCTTCTTCTCCTCCACGGTCTGGAAGCGGCCATGACCAAATTTGGAGGTAGTGTCGATGAACTTCAGGTCAATCTTCTCCAGAGCACGGCGACTGGTCTGCACCAGCAGGGACTGAAGGACAGAGATTTAAAGTTTTAGTGATTCAAGTTTAAAACATCATTCAAATGATCCCTTTAACAAAGTTTCCCCTCACCTTGCGCAGAGTCAGCACCCTCTTCTTGGTTCCCACAACGCACCCCTTCACCATGACGAAGTCATTGGTCACCTCTCCATAATGAACAAACCCACCCTGGAAACATAAGATCAGAATTAGAAAGCTCTTCACAGAATTTATTATTAATCATCCAACATATATCCAAGGTCTCCTTACCAGGGGGTTGATGCTCTTGTTGGTCAGATCGTACTCTGTAGAAGCGTTATTCTTGACCAATTTGCCGTCTTTGGTGTGGTAGCCCTGACCGATCTTGTAGATCTTCTTGTTGATCTCTGTGCGGTGGTGGTAGCCTTTCTGACCGGCACGAGCAACAGAGAAGGCTACACGGGCTGGATGCCAGGCACCGATGCAGGCCACCTTACGCAGACCACGATGGGTTTTGCGGGGAAGCTTCTTTGTGTGCCAGCGGCTGGTAACACCTGAAGGATAAAGATTTAGCCTCCAACATCCGTCTGAAGGTGCTCCAGGATTCTACAAGCCAATATTAAATAACCCACCCTTGTATCCGTGACCCTTTGTAACACCGATCACATCGATCATCTCATCCTGGGTGAAGACGGTGTTAACAGGGATGGCCTGCTCCAGCTTCTCACGAGCCCAGTCCACCTTATCAGAGATGGTGCCGCCGTTCAGCTGCACCTCCATCAGGTGGGACTTCTTCTGCCTCAGAGGCAAGAGGCGCATCTACAAAGTAACAAACATGTCAGCAAAAAGGGTACAACACATTGTTCCAGTAAGAATTCAGCTCAAGGCAAAGTGGTCTCAGAAGGAAGGCAGCATGGAAGATCTCCTCATAAATATCGGGCGCCATGCCTGACGCAGGTTCCGTGGTCTCATCACTGACAGAAGGAAGGGTTAGCGTTGCATAGACAGATACCAACCTGTGTGTGGGCGATGACTCTGATGACCTGGCAGTATTTCTTCATGGCAGCAAAGTCTTTCTCCAGCTGCTTCTTGCCCTCCTCATCCTGCCATTTCTTGCAGTACTTAGTGAAGGCCTTCTTCTTGGACTTGTACCTGAGAGCAGCAAGCATAGCAAGGGTTGGCACAGGTCCCTCATAAACCCCGAAAGGGGCCAGCGGAGGAACACAGTGCATAGCTGCAAGCCCTCCTCCCATCTAGGAAACAGGGGGCTAACGCAGCTTTAAAGGATTTCGGCTCATGGCTCAGTTTCTAAGAAGCACTTTCCACTGGCCAGAGGAGCCCGGAGCTCATCAGGGCACAAGGCACCTGAGCGGAGCTGCCACAGGGGGCCACCGTTAATGTTAGACTCACTCAGTGGGGAGAAAAAAATTTATTTTTTTCCCCCACTGGCAACTAACACCTGCTTCAACAACTAAAACATTTCCCATTTCAGTAAAAACTCACCAGTTCCTGTAGAAGCGACGCTTGCACTCGTCACTCATGTGCTCGGCGAAGATGGTTTTGAAGGAACGCAGACCACGGGGGGTGTTAACATAGCCCACAACGCCGACCACGATCATGGGAGGGGTCTCAAGGATGGTGACTGCTTCGACCACTTCCTTCTTGTTGACCTCTGCGTTGGGAAGAAGAACAAAAACCCACGGTCATTTTAGAAAACCAAAAAGCCCACAAGTCACTGCACAGCCTGCATTTGCTGCGCTCAGGACTCGACATTCAGCAAGGGCTGTAAACCCATTCTGTCCGCCCGTCGAGAGTCTCATCATAGGCAGAGCTTTGGGGATCCAGATATTTTAAAGGCGAACAACACATCGATCGTTGTGAATATTTGGTTTGACAGAAAAGCCTTATTACCATCAGGTCTCCATCTGTCCATTCTTCATTTGAACAATGGACTTGTTACATGTCACATTGCCCCCTGATAATTTCATAACATTAACCTTTTTGATGCTCTATTTCTGAAAAATTATCCTTTTTACATTTCAACCAATAAAAATCTACATCCAGAAACTAGCTGACTAGTCTAATCTTTCCCAGGCCAACTTGGCACCCAGTCAGTCTTGACTATATGAATTAAAAGCCTTATTTGAGAAGAGAACATACACTCAATTGACCTCAAGCTAGGGGTTTATGTTAGTACTCTATTTAGAAGATGCTTTCAAGAAATAAAGTGATCAAATTTTCCTAATACTAAAAGAATTTAATCATCATTTTTAATTCTTGGTATGTTCCATAAAAAGCAACAACTTCTATGGCGGTTACTCATCTATAAATATAAAATAATAATTAAAAAAAAGTCAAATTACAACAGCTTTTATACTGCAAAACTTAAACACTCTAAAAAGTACTAATTTATAATTTCTAAGATCTGGAAAGTCTTAATAATCGAGATAAGTCGCTGCATAATAAACATGCAATATTCACCTTTCCATTATTCCAATACCCTGGATTAAAATTTCAAAATTAAACTTAAAATTAAGGCACTTTTAAGAAACAATGCTGTTAATGCAAAATGGCCCCTTGCTTTAGGGTGGTCTTATTTTAGTTCTGGACATATTGAACTTTAAAAATAGAAAATGTTCAATAGTTTATTCTGAAAGGATGCTTACTTGAGCCAGGTCTGTCCACCTCACGGACAATGTGGGTCATGCCGGCCTTGTAGCCGAGGAAGGCGGTCAGGTGCACAGGCTTGCTGGGGTCATCCTTGGGGAAGCTCTTGGCCTTACCGCGGTGGCGGCGGCTTCTTTTGCGGGGCAGGAAGCCCAGGGATCCGTGTCTCGGAGCCGAAAACTTACGGTGGGACTGTAAATAATAAACAACCAGTTAGCTAACAAAAAACAATAAAAAATACCTACATTTATATAATTAGCTCGCCTCGATTGTCAAGCCATTAAGTCTCTTAGTTTTACCCCGTTAAACCATAAACACCAAACACTTATTTCAAGTTACTTTAACAATTGGGTCAAACCTAATGTTTATACAGTAATCTGTTATTTTACATATATCTTTTCGGCGTGGTTAGGCCAGCCATTTTGGATTCAGGGCCACCAGGAAGTCTACACATGCAATACTCAGATGAGTAAGCAAAATAACATCAAATAACTAAAAATAGCTGTAAGAAAGTATTCATAAGCTTTAAGACTGACGGTCTAACTATTTTTGTATATGTAAATGTGAACGATGGATAAGATAGACCACGGATAGCGCTGTCAACTAAAAAGCTAAAAGGATAGCTTCTCACCATTTCGTCTCCCGTCCGATTGAAAGAGGCCGTAAAGTCGGCTAACTATCAATATATAGCAGAGGAAGTATCGCGCGATTCTGCGTGATAGTTTTCTAAAAAAGCCCCGCCTCCATAAAAACACCAATTCAGCCACTTGGTGTCGCTGTTCACACAAACAACATATACATTCATTTGTCAGGAAAAAAATTTTATTTAAAATTTACTTCATTTATAACACATTTTAGTATCCTGATTGGGCTTTTATTTGCTGTTTCTATCTAAACAGAAACATTTATTCGCTTTAATTAAAAGAGAAAAACTCAAGTTTCCAACAGCTAAAATTCAATTAAATTCAGTTTATTTATATATCGCCAAATTCACAACACATGTCATCTCAAGGCACTTTAAAAGCTAAGATTGTTCAGAGAATAATGCTTTTACAACATTATTCAAGTTTTTGAATGTTTTTTCACAGCGAATAAATTAATTGTAAGGTGTAAGGAAAGGGGATGTATGAAAAATAAATTAATACGTGGCTTTTAAGTCATATCTTGATATGTACCCTAACCTGTTTGATCTGAATGGATGAAAATGTGTGTTTAACACTTATTGTGGTGAATTGGGGAAATTTTCTTTACAAAAAATGCAACAAATCTAATTTCTGACATCCTCATAATTATCTTTTACAATTTTAAAAAGGCAGTCAAATGTTTTAGTTAGATTTTTGCAATGTGTTGATCAGCCCCGCAGTGCATGTCCTTTTATGAAGAGGTTTCTGCAGTTGTCACAGACTCAAATCTAAGACTTTTTAAGACCCCAATGAAACCCCTTATTGTTGGTACACCTCGTTTAATGAAAGACAAACCCTCAAAGTTAACAGAAATAACTTGAATCTGGCAAAATTAATACAGTAATACTTAAATGTTCTTTAAGAATGAACATATTAAATTCAGACATTGCTTTCACACCATGCCTCAAAAGAATGATTACAAGAATAAACTCTTTAAACAGGCCTGGACATATATGATGACACTCTTAACTTAATATTTTTTTGCACAGCCGTTTGAAACAATAACTGCAATCAAATATTTCCTTCTGCTGTTCTCAGGAGGTATTTTGCTCCACTCCTGAGCAAACTGCTCCAGTTGTCTGATGTTTGACGTGTGCCTTTTCCAGATTATTTGTTCAGCTCCATCCCGATGTGATGCTCAATATGATTCAGGTCAGGGTTCTTGAAGGCCAATTCAGAATAGTTCACTGTTTTCCTCTTAGCCATTCTTGGGTGTTTTTAGCTGTGTTTTTTAGTCACTATCATTTTGAAGACCCGTGAGCTGTGATATAGACCACGCTTTCTGACACTGGGCAGCACATTTCTCTCTAGAATGCCTTGAAAGTCTTGTGATTTCATTGTACCCTGCAGAGATTCAGACACCTTTTGCCAGATGAAGTAAACCAGCCCAGGTCATAACAGAGCCTCCTCCTTGTTTCACAGTAGGGACAGCGTTCTTTTCTTTATATGCTTCATTTTTCTATTAAAATAGGCCTGATTTGCCTAAAAAAAGGTTCCCTTTGTGTTTCATCTGTCCATAGGAAATTCTCCTATGTAACATAGTTTGGCAGATTCCAGTCAAGCTATTCTATTCTTTTTTAATGGCAGCATTTACCTTGGTTAGTTGAGCTTGAAGTTCACCTTTAATCTCTTTAAAAAATTTTGTGCATGGGCTTTTTTTTCCCCGTTTGTAGTACTCGTCTCTTTTTCCATCTGTTTTCCCCCTGCAGCCAAATATGATCTTAATTTTGGAAATATGTGTGACCATAGTCACAGTAACATCAAGCTGCTTGGAGATGGTCTTATAGTTTTTACCTTTAATAGGCTGTTCCTAACTTCCCAAGAAAACTCTTCACTTTGCCTCCTCCAGGTCATGAAATAGCAGTGACTACCTGTAGTCCTGTATATAGGCCCACTGGCTGATAACTAGATTGTACACACCTCTATTGCTAATGGTGGACACACCTTGATTTAAAATGTCAAATTTTTCACATTATTTTCAAGGGGGTAACTATTATTTTAAATACTTTTGTTGAAAAACAATGTCTTACTTTCATTTATTCCTTTTTATAAATGTTTTATCTATTTAGTCAGATTGAAGTTCAGAATCAGTAATACTTTAATAATCCCAGAGGGAAATTACTTTTGTTACACGCTCCAGTTACAGTTTTATATATATATATACACACACATCCAACTACACAATATAATAAAGATAAAAAAGAAAAAAAATATATACACATATAGCTCTTCTATATATATATATATATATATGTATATCTATGCATATGTAAAAACTAAATCCAAATAAAGTAAATATCCAATGAAAGTGATAAATCCAAGTTTTTTTTCCCAAACATTGAGTTTTTCTTTCATTAAACAAGAGGTGCTATTTTTTTCTCCCACCTAACCCTTCATGAAAGTTAAAATGAGTCACTCTTTGAACAAAAATCAGGTTGTAGCATTTTATTTCAATTCAAGTCTATAAAACAGAAACAAAATGGACATCTTCAAATGAAGGCTGATGTTTTGTTTTATGGTCCCATGTCTAAAGAATTCAGAACACCATTAACTCAAGGATCAACCCATCGGCTAAAAGGTCTCTATGGACCTAAATAATTCCCCTAACAGTCGCTCTGATGCCGTTTCATGAACAAATGAAACCCCACAAGTAGTCCACTCATGTTCACTTAAAATTTTGCATCAGTGGGTGAGTGTATCCTCATAAATTACGGTGTCTCTTGTCATAAACTCTTGTATTTTCAGACATACATATGAATCTGTTGTTCTGGATGCATTGATTAGCACATGGAAAATAATTCAATCAGCATCTGTAAAGTATCTACATAGCAGACAAGTGTGAAAATTGTCATGTTTTACTGCAACAGGACAACAGATGAAATATGCAGGGGCAGGGTGAAGAATCTTATCTGGACTGTGTACTGAAAAGAATCAGCCTTCAGATTATCTGGTTTATGCTAGAATACAGATCACATTGCAGTCTTTATGAGTGTGCGCCACTCATATATGCACAGTGGTTTCACTTTTAAAGATGAAATCTCCTCATCAAAGCGTTGAAACCTTTCTTCCAACCTTTAATGTTTTAAAACATGCATTAAGTCCAGAGTCTTTTGGGATGGAGGCTCAGTAGGATGTGAAGGTTACAGGCATGTCTCTTTGTTTTTCCAGAAGAACCGGTCTGCAAATAGAGAGACTCTTCCACAAACAATGAACCTCATGTTAAATGTTCTAAGAAAAATGGATCCAGGCCAGCCTGCTCATCATTTTCTTGTGTGAAGAGTCAAGGTTGTTTTTTTTCCTGTTCCACCAATCAGCACCCCCTGCTGGCCAAGTTCACGCCACCAGTCGCTGCTGATCAAGGTTGACCTTTTGGAAGAAGGCCTTCCCAAACTCATAGCTGCTGATCATTACAGCACAAGCTGGAGCGACTTTGATCACTCTGGGCATAAAACCTAGATAAAAACAAAACAACAATATTCTCACTTCCTAACAAAAACAAGGGATGTTATTCAACAAATGGCGATGTGTGTACCTGCAAAGAGACCTCTGTAGCCCAACTCAGACCAGATTTCCTTCATTATGTGCCAGGTGGAAGTGGTTACCCTTTTGGAAGCTGTTAACAAGCAGAGCAGAATCCGTTTAGAACAAAAAGAAGATTGTAACCCGTCCTAAACTAAGCGTGTAAATACACAGACCTCCCAAGGAGTCCAGTTCTCCAAGCTGGATCTGCCTTCGAGTTTTCACAACATCAAACGGCAGCGTCAGGATAGCAGCGATCTGAAAACACAAAAAACCCAAACACGCACTGTGAGGAATATTCAAGACAGGTGAAAGTTTAAGGAAAAGTGACGGAAAGATGCAAAATGTTGGAACCATGTTAGCATTTAGGAGGGATGGAGGGAGAGGAGGGAATGGCTGGGCAAAAAAAATAAATCAATCAAAAACCAGTCATTAACCCTGCAGCCAGACTGATCATGCATAGCAGTCTGGTTTAGTTCTACGAATCATCAAACTGGTCTGCTCCGATCAAAGCTGTTCAGGGAAAGGTTGGATATTTTGATGTAGTTTAACCAATGAAAACCAGATCTGACAGCAGTTATATACCTACGACCTCCTGTGCTGGTTTAGCTGTCACTTTCATCACAGCTACATGCCTTATACCATAATACGACATGATTGGTCAAACAGTTGAAGAGGGTCACAGGACTGTATAGTGCAACTGATTTACTCCCATTTGCACCTTAAAGGAATAGTACACCCAAAACATGATTAGCCTTCATTTTCTACTCACCCCCATGCTGAACAACACTCTGGAGTACTTTTTTGATATCTCAAATGCATCTGGAGATCTGGGAGGCTTCTTGCTGTCTGCTGACATTCAAATAATGGAGGTCTATGGCGCCCGAGGCAGAAAGGTCCATAAAAGTCCACAAAAAACGTGTCAATATTCCTCCATACTGCTCGTCCAATGTATTCCAAGTGTCCTGAGTGGGTAGCGTCCAGAATTTACTCGAAACGAAGTCATTTAGAATGTTTTTAGAGCATAAACAGTAGTGTATAGGATTTCCTGAAAGCGTGCACATGCGCGTTCACGACGCTACGGAAGCCGGCAGACCAAACCAGATGAAAGTGCGCATTCAGCGTCTGCTCTGCCAATAATGCAAGCGTAGAAGAAGAAATGTGCTGTTTACCTGTGCAAAGAAAGAAACAACGAAAGAAAAATGTCTGAGGACTTCAGTGTTGAGGAAGAGCATGAGTTCTTTGCCGAGCTGAATGCGCTGGTTTGGTCTGCCGGCTTCTGTAGCGTCAGGATCGCGCATGTGCGCGCTTTCAGGAAATCCTATACACTACTGTTTATGCTCTAAAAACATTCTAAATGACTTTGTTTCGAGTAAATTCTGGACGCTACCCACTCAGGACACTTGGAATACATTGGACGAGCAGTATGGAGGAATATTGACACGTTTTTTGTGGACCTTTCTGTCTCGGTCACCATAGACCTCCATTATTTGAATGTCAGCAGACAGCAAGAAGCCTCCCAGATCTCCAGATGCATTGGAGATATCAAAAAAGTACTCCAGAGTGTTGTTCAGCATGGGGGTGAGTAGAAAATGAAGGCTAATCATGTTTTGGGTGTACTATTCCTTTAAATAGATTGGTGCAAGTAAGAATAAAATAAAAATAATTAAAATAGGAGCACACCTGCAGGTACAGATTTCATCTCCATTTCCTAAAACAAGTCAGGCTTCATTTAAATAAGATATCAGTTTGTTGTTTATTAAGAAGAAAAGAAGTGCATTTCCAAAAATTCAACTGGTCAATTTGTATGGGGAAAATAATTAAGGAACCAGTTATGAAATGTCGCTGTTGCCTTACAGATTTCCGGCAGCACATAAACATGAGAAACTGCTAAGAGAACCTGAAACACATGCCGGTAAGACGCCAATCAGCTCAGAGGCAGGAGAATTACATTTAGCAACTTTTCATACTTTTTTTGTTAAATAAGAAAGTCTTTTTGAAGACAGGTGATGATAGCTCTGAGGACTCTTTTAGCGTCTTTGGCAAATAGTGAGAGAGCGAGCCCCTCCCTCCTCCAAAACACTGCAGCCCATTTTTAAAGTCAGAGAGCAGAAAAAAAAACATCTACAGACATCCAAAGTTCCAACACTGATTATTTTTATAGCAACACTGCTAACAAGGTTTAATGTTTGAATAAGATTGCATCAAGCTCTTCCCTTGGGTTGAGGTGTAGGACAAACTTATGTTGCAAAGTACAGAACCAGGCAGGTAATTTGGTGTTTGTGACCCATTTAAAAAAAAAAGGCAGCCACATGAAACATGAATCAATACCCAGGTTCATTTTACTTTTTATTTTTTAAATGGTGCTATTTAAGAAAATTCATAGTGCCCCATTTGGGAGCACTACTGCTCCTGATTAAAAAGCCAGGTGTACAATCCTGGGCTAAGATGGATTCTCGTGTTTGTGAAACCACAAATATTGAAAGATTTCAGCTTGCAGGAAATTTTGTTTAATGACAAAGACCTGATGAATATGAATAGAAAATATGTCTGATTAAAGTTTTCAATAATTCCACTGAACTCTGAACCATTTAAACCAATATATCTATATAGATAGATACAGTAAAAGCATTGTACAGTACTATTTTTTTTTTTTACTGTCACTTATTGTTATTTTTATGCACTTTTTAAGGTCCACATTTGTGTGATTACTTTTGCTGCTTTAACACGACAATTTCCCTAATTGTGGGACAATAAAGGAAATTTTCTATTCTATTCTAGAACCACACAGTATTCTGAAGGATGTAGGCAGAGGAAAAGATTTAACCTCTCAACCTCAAGTTGCCAGTTTTTTCTCTCCTGATCCTTATTTTAAAATAGGTAAACCAAGAACTTCAGTCATTTTTATATTGATTGATATGAAAGAATGGAATCCTGATCCAGCACAGCCCTTAAACACTCAGCTATCCTCCAGTGTTTTATGAAGAACATGTGTTAACACTACTGCTGACTACTCACAGCTCCAGAAATGGCTCCTGCAGTAAAGCTGATGGAAAAGTTGGCCTGTGGCGTTTGGTACTGGTCACACAGCTGGGCCTTCACCAGTTCGTAGTTGAACCAGTACAAAGCTGGAAGTAGAACACAGTTGGCGTTATTACAGAGTCCTGGCAGAGAATACTGCTCTACAGGTAGTCACACCGTTCTGAGAATGGCTGCAAATAATTATTATTTTGCAAATCGATGAATAATCGGATAGCAAAAGATTCCTTACTGAAGACTTTTTACCGAATTAAACCAAGTGAAATTCAAACTTTTCCACTTCTGGATAGAGAATATTAATATTTTTTTTTTACAATTTTGATATAATTACTGCTCTAAGTGGGTTGCTCTTTCAGCTAAAGGCATGTATTATAGCAGCAGCCATTTAAATTGGCCCTTCCCAGTCAAACGCCAGCCGATTGGCAGCCCACTCCCCTGGAACTCCCAGCAAAATCCCCTCCATGAACCGAACATATTTTTTAACTGACTCCAGCCTTTTACTGAATTACAGGGTCTGACCAGCAGATGGCGCTTCTCTTTAGCTCTTAATGTCCACAAATCATGACTGAAAGAATATTTTAGTACAAAGATTGATGTTTAAAAAGGAATTTTAGTGGACAAGCAAAGGACCTTAAGGAAAATGAAAAAATGTTAAATGGCTACTACAGTACAGACTTTGTACTCCAGTTAATGATTAATTAATCACTAAACTGGTGGACGATTATTTCAATAATCGATTAATTGTTTCAGCCCTTGTTCTTATCTCTACTGGCTTTTTTTTTTTTTTTTTTTAATAATTCAAAAGATATAACTTCTAGATTGCAACAATCCACAAATAGTGTTTAAAAAGGTCCAATTAATCTTGTTAGCAGGGATTGTAATTTTTAAATTAAGTTAAAAGGAAAACTTTTAGATCTTCAGTATTACTATATCAATCAATCAATATTAAATCGTACGCTTTAGTTTCTGGTAATGGATCTTAAAAGGTGAACATGTCTCACCAGAAAAAGGCACATCTCTAAGAACGGTGGGTCCCCAGCCCCTCCACAGAGACAGCAGGCCGTCCTGAGCCACAGCCGAGCGGATGCACACCCGCAGCTCGCTGTAGGTCAGCTTCCTGGACTGCATTTTGGTCCTGACCAGCTCCAGTGGGCTGATCACTGTCACAGCTCCCACTGTGACCAAAACATCACATGCAAACATTGAGATTAAAGTCAACATGACTCAGGAAGGAGAGGTTTTCTGGGTTTATTCCTTGCCCTTACATCTGGCAAGACCTCCAGCAAGAAGAGGGACGTAGCTGCCCTGAAGGCCCAGACCAAACCACAGGAAATCCCTCAGCTGGTCGTAGCAGGTGAAGTAGATGACTGTGGCCGGAACTGCCATGACCCTTCACACACAAATGAACATAAAAATTAGCATTCCTATTCATCATGAAAGTTTAATTTTTATCATATATAAAAACGTAATCTGCTGAGACAAACAGGATTCCAACATTAGAAATGGATAATAAATATCATCCGAGCTGCAAAACCTGGAGGAAACATTCAATAACAGAAGCCTTCCTACTAATGGATGATCATGGAAATGAGATCTTTAGAAAACTTTTTTTGCAATTTCTGATAGTAGGCAAACAGGAAATTGGATTAGAGAGAGCTAGAAGAGATGCAGCAAAGGTCACCGGGATGGGATCTCCTTTCTGACCCTTTAACAGCCCCTCTGTTTCTTCTTGTTCCTGTTTGCCGTTTTTTCTAGTCAAGTTGTCGTAATGTTTGACTTTCTCCTGTTTGGCTTGTGAAATTCAGGTGTTTGATGGGGAGACTGCTGCAACGTCCAGCTTAAGTTTTGCCTTGGAGAATCATTTCATTGATCCGCACAACCGCTCCTGTGCTGAACTGGTGCTATGAGTGTAAACATTGATTTGAATGATTGAGGTTCCTTAATAATATTACAAATTTTTGAACTTTATTGATCTCACATTGGAGAAATTTACCTCTGCATTTAACCCATCCCCTTGGGGAGCAGTGGGCTGCCATGGTGGGGCGCCCTGGGAGCTATCAGGGTTAAGGGTCCTGCTCAGAGACCCAGAGTGGAATTCTGTGGGAGTGGGTTTCAAACTCACAACCTCAGGATTTCAAGCTCTATGCCCTAAGCACAAGGTCGCCACTCTCCTTGCAGCTCCAGCACTGCATTCAGATGTTAGTCTCATGTACTGCTTATTTGAGAAAAAAAAGTAAGAACTAAAACCAAGGAAAAGATCATGGTGTTCTGTTTACACAAACCCAGAAGCCCAGTTAGGTTTGCTTACTTAATGTTGTTCAGATAACAAAAATAATCTTTGCCTCGGTTTCATTTCTGCAAAGTCAGAAGCAGTTTTCCGTCTGCTTAAAGGGAACGCTGTTATTACATGATGTAATAATGTAAAAATCAAGGGTCTAATGTAAAAAAAAAAGCGTTCCCCTTTAAGCTAGACACACATCTGTAAAAGTTTACTCCCAGGATAAATCTTCTGCGTTGAAAAACATTTCAGATAGCTCAGCTCAGCCATGCCCTTCAGTTTGTTTTCTTTAAACTCATGGAAGGCTTCCAAATTTTCAGAAATAAAAGAAAAGAAATGGTTCTTTTAAATATAAAAATTAAAGATGCAAACTGCAAAAAGAGCCCGACTGCATGCAAAGAAAAAATCATGTTGGCTTGAAAAAAAGAACAAAAATATGAATGATTTTACTAGGGATGCACGATATAATCGGCCCCCTATCGGTATCGGCCTTAAAACTGAATATCGGACATCAGCCACCCCACCGATATTTAACCCGATATTTGATCAGCTTCTGAGTTTCTAAAGTCTAAAAAAAAAAATACTACTTCTTCTTCTTCCTCAAAAACTTATTTTTTACAGACTTAAAAACTTCTAAAGACGAGGGAAAAAATATTGATCCATTAAAATATCCCAATATCTTCATATGCTGATATATTGCCATTTAAAAACACCATATCAATCTCTTTTACTAATGAAATATTGCTATATGTCATCGTTATGCTACGAAATCCCCCGAAAATTCACGAAATGTTGCCATATTTTTATATGTTATATATTGACGCGGTATCGATCTATTTTACTAACAAAATCTCACAAGAATTTGCAAAATATCACGAGAGTTTGTAACAGAACGATGAAATTTCACAAGATTTTGAAAGTAAAATAGATCGATACCGCGTTTTTAAAAATCAATTTGATATCAGCATATGAAAATATATTTGAGTATATTATTTTTCAAAGTGTCAGAAATGGATAACAAAACTGCTATTTTCAATGACTACTTATTTTTGTCCAGCTTTATCATCGGTATCGATATCGGTTTTCGGCTACATGAGTTTTAAAATATCGGATATCGGCCAAAATCCCACTATCGTGCATCCCTAGATTTTACATTAACCAAATTCAGAGGGGGCAGAGGTCGACTGGTTTTAAGAACTCCCTCTGGAACTTAAAACGAGTTCCTTTAAACACTCACAGTGTCGGTGGGAGCCCACTCCACAGCGACCGGAGCCCTTCATGGCGGCTGATTTTCACAAAAGCATCCTGTGTTAAAAAGCAAAAGAAAAATTAAATAAAAATAGAAACATGTTGATAAATCATGTTTTTTCATCAGAAAAAGAATATAAAAAAGGCGGAAAGATGATGCCACTCACCAGAGTGCCACTGAAATGTGTTGGCTTTCCATACCAGTTGGTGCAACTGGTTCCATTCCTACACACATAGAGGTGGTCCATCAGCCCATTGCAATAAAGAAAGCACTTCCCTGCAGAGAAAACAACAAGAGTAAAGAAAAGGGACAACAGAGCATGCATAACCTGCATGACCACAGTTACTCATTAACCTTGACATTTACTTTTTTTATCCAACTTTGGGTCTCAGAATATTCAAGTGAAACAACAAATGAGGGGCAATGACACTGACACTCGTCAGATAAACCAGCAGTAACCTTGTTACAGCTTTTTTGGGTTGAAGCAGTTAAAACCAAACAAGGTTATTTTAGCTTCACAAGCAGAAATTGTTTATCTAGCTGAACGGAAATATTTTCTTACTGATAGACTGGCTGTGCTGCTGCAGCAGATCAATACTCACATTTGGAAGAGCGACTGACGCCGACCCATGGAGCAGATTTACAGCCTAAGGCTGGGAAAAGCCAGGGTGGAGCAGAAAAACAGCAGAATGAAGGGGTTAGTTTTAAATGCAAAAGCAGTTAGATATAAGCTCAATATATATATATAAAAAGCCAAAAATTCACAGTTGTCTCTACCTTGGCGGAAAGGTGTTTGCTGAGCCTGCAGCCTTATCTTCACAACATCCAGTGGAGTGACTGTAAACAGAACCCCACATCAAATCACAAGACAGAAGCAGCCAAATATGTGCAAATGACAGAAGAAAAAAAAACACACAAAAACCATAGTTTAAAAAAAAAAAAACTCTACGGCGCTTTTTCTCGTTTCTATAATCTAACCAAAGAGAGATGTGAGGAGGGCTCCAGTGCCAGAGGCCAACATCTGCTGCACTGGAGAGATCGCAGCCACAGGGCCGCCAACGGTCCGCTCCCCCATCCTGCCCACCTGTCAAAACCAAAACATACAAACATACAAAATAGCAGATCATGCCGAAAAACATCATGCAGCGTCACCATTAACTGGTCCCTGAGCAAGCTAATGAAGGAGGAGTGTAAAAAAAAAAATCTAAAATCCAATGCAGTTTGTGAATGGACTTCCAAAAACATCAGACATCTAATACTAAAAACCAAAAATGTGTTGCTGACATCCAACTTAGGTAAAGTTGAATAAAAAACTAAATAATAAACAACACATTTACCTTGCATTTAAGCCTGAGTTGCTTGTTTTCAAACTGAGCAGGGTATGTCTAGGTGGAGTTGTTAAAACAAGGTCCTTGAAGCATTTTGATAGCTTATCTTTCACATGCATGCCGCTTCCAATCTCACTGAGCAGCCAGGGAAAAAGGCCTCCCCTCCAGATACACAACAAGTGACAGCCGCCTTTAACTGGTTCCCCTACAGGCCTGATGGTGCAAGAGGAGGAGTGTATTCTGCGTTTCCGCTCCACTTCCTGGAGATGATTACACCATTATGTGTTCATTATCACAGCCACATGGGGTATGCTGTTGGTACATATAAGCCAAAATCCTTCAATAGAATAAAAAAAACCAAATACTGACCGGGTGTTTTTTATATAAAACTCTAAACCCCACACTCTGACTTCAAGATGGATTAAAAAATAGAATGGTTTAGTGAATAAAAACCTGCAGCGGTACACCACGTTCTTTTTTAAGATTGAAGTTAGCTTCCGATTGGTAATTTGCCGTAAAACGATTTCACGACGTTTATGAAACCTGATTTTCCTTACGTTATTGTGTAGTTCTAAACCTGAAGCTCAAACAGCTTTATTCAGAATATCCAAATACGTTAAAATAACATGGTCCAAATTTGAGAGCTCACTGAAAACAGCGGAAAAGCTCTTCGTTGAAGTCCACAATCTAACACCAGCTTCAGTGTCTTTCGATCTTACCGTTAGCTTGGTGAAAAATAATAATTGATAAACTTAGATAGAATTATAAATAAAATATAGGTGAGCAGGAACGTTATTTCCTGACGGAATATTTATTTAGAAATGCACCGAGTAAGAGTTCTCAAAATATGGGTGTTTAGCTAGCCGCTAAATGCATTTTAGCTCGGTAGCCATCTTGCTATTTACAAGCTGAAATGCCTTACATTAAATAAGGAACTGACGTTACCCACCTCTTACTTTGGCTGCCAGGCTCTTTGTAAAATATAGGTGTCTTCACCCATATCAGTTACTTAATTTGCAGTAATTCGACCTATTTAGGCGCTCCATTACAGAGTACCCGAAATGCAAAACATTATCTAAGATTGGTCTGGCACAAACATTCCTCACGTACGCTTAACGCAGATTTCAAAAACAAGTGTTGGCAGTGGCTTGGGCTTCTGGAATGAACGAATAGTTTGTAGATCAGCACTAAAGAGGGTCTTTACTTCCGCCTTCTGTTCTTTTCGGAGCTTTGGCGCCCTCTAGTGGAATGTAAAATACCTGGCTGCATCAGCAGCTTCATAAACAAGGTTACAGTCAGGTTAGTTAACCGTTTGCTGCAAAGGTACATTTTGTTGCTTGATGTTAAAACTGCAATTATAAAGATACACTGGGGGAAAAAAAACATTATATGATATGAGTTCCGCACTAAAGACAGAAGGATCCACCTCTCCCCTCCCCTCGGCCTGTGATGGGGGCGTGCTCAGGATGATGCCAGGACTTGTGGACTCACCAGGGATTCACTGTGGTGAGACGCACTGGTGAAGGTTTGAACAGTTCACAGCAGCCTCTTGTCCCTAACAAAGGTAAGAACAATGCAAAATCTATTTTTCTTTATCCATTGGAAAAATGCAAAAAGGTTCGTGTTTTAAATTAAAAAGGTTATTTATTCATAGAAGAAAAACATTTTTTTTGTTTTCTTTCTGTATGTGCGCTTCTTTAATGATGTGCGCGTATATGCCATTCTTTTGAGCTATACTTTCTATGCAACAGATGGTTGACGTTGAGAAAAAAAGACAATGTGAATGAACATTTCAAGAAGCACTACTACAGGAAATAAATAATGATTAGTCACTGAGACAGTTGGGGAGTGTCAAAATAGTTTCTGCCCAGGTAGAAAAAAAATAATAAGCAGTATAATAAATCAGAAAAAAAACTTCATAGATCTGTCATTAAAAGCAACATTTCAAGGTTTTTCCTTAATTAATCAGCAATGCATAAGAATCTAGAATTAAGCAGCTGTTTAATGTAACCAGTGACAATTTTAGGTCCATTGGAAAAGTCCAATAGAAAAGGGGGATTTTTAGTTTCACTATCCTCATTAATTTGTTACTTCCCGTTCTGAATGGTTTTCCTTGCCTGCAGATGAAGACCTGGGTTGTGATCTGTTGGGCTGCCTTTGCCCTGGTTGGTGCAGATGAGTGTCCTGATGGAGGCAGTTGTGAAGAGGGTCAAACCTGCTGTAGCAGCCCAAACAATGGCTATGGATGCTGCCCGTTTGATCAGGTACATGTGGTTGCACACCAAACATCTCTAAGCATCCAAATAACTCTCTACTGTGGGACAATACTATGTATCTACTGCTGGCATGTAAAAACAAGAAGTTTATCATCATCATCATCATATATTTTTATACCATGTATAAAAACAGAACTGAGTCTATGTTCTTTACAGTGGATACAAACAAATAATCTATTTTATTTTTCAAATGTATCTTAGATACAACACTTGTCAACTTATTTCTGAAATTCTTATTAATCTGTTGTTTGAATTAACCTGAAAGAAACAGTTGCCAAAATTCAAGTTACCCTTTTTTTTCTCCAACTAACTGTTCTTTTCTAAATGTTGCAAAAACTAAAAGCTCAGACTCAACCAAACCCCCCAAATTAACAAGTTTCTTATTCTTTCCTAAACTCTAGTAAAGACTGGCTGAGCTAGCAGTAGCAGGAAGTTTGCAACATTTCTTCTTCTGTCTTAACTGTCACCTTTTTTAACCCCAGTTTCTTTTTTAAATGGAAAAAAATAGCCCAACAAGGTATCTGTTATCATCAAAGTATTATTGACTTATGTATATACTCGTCCTGCACATCCAGCTATGATTCAGTGTTTTGTCCTAATGAGGTTCATGTCTAAGTTAAATTAACATAAAAGAAGATAATGTTTCGTTAGAAATGACTCTATAGTAGTGCTATTCATCCTGGATGGCGTTTTACTACTATATGAGCCTGATAAGATACCTGGCCTTATTCAGAGTGTGAGATAGCCGTAGAAACTTTGGTAGTCAAAATGTTCCTGCTACTCCTTTCTTGACAGGCTGAATGCTGTGGGGATCATGTCCACTGCTGTCCAGCAGACACACTCTGCAATCCAGACACGTCCAGCTGTGTGAACGCCACTGTGTCCATCCCATGGCAGGAAAGGACCTCTGCCCTCCAACCCACACTCTCTAAAGTATGAGTAACATCCCCTTGTTTTTGTCCACAAACCAGGTTTAATTATTTAGAGCGGTGTCTCTTATTCGTTGTCCCTGCAGTCCTTCAGGATGATCAAGTCTTACATGGGAGAGGACGATGATAACATCTGTCCTGATCAGTCACGATGCCCTGCTGAGTTTTCCTGCCTGAAGGCTTTGACTAAATTTGGATGCTGCCCTTTGGCAAAGGTAACCAGACAAGAAGAGTTGAAACACAGAACTAGAGTTCTGTTTCTAATTAGTTTATAAAGAGATACTACATTTGTCTGATAAAAAAAAATACCCAGAGAATTAAGAAACGCTGTAAATAAAATCTGAGTAACAACATGAAGTTAGCTAAAATAAAATATTTTGGGGGCTAATGTGAATCTAGGACCTTACAGTGTTTCTCCCATTACATATGGGTTAAAAAAAAACATAAAGCAGCAGGAAATGAACACCATGCATGCAGCAGAACATGGTAGTGGTAGTGTGATGTTATGGGCTGTTTTGCTGCTTCAAGACCACTCCAGCCATGAGTTTGTTAACCTTAAGCAGAGGTGCTGCTGGTTTTATTTTTTTCCACCTATTAATGATTTAAAAAAAAAAAAGTTATTTTTTGTTAAATTAATTAAAATTGGATTTAAGTCTGATTAAATTATTTTGGTGTGACCTAAATCAGGCTGCTCAGATTCTAAGTCCTCCAATATGTTGGAGTTATAACAAAGAGGAATGTGTTAAAATTAGAGGTACTAGATAACTGATGCAGCCTCTTAGGGTGTAAAAAGTACTTTATTTGTTCTTTTAGTCTAAAAGAGTTTATTTCCAACATAATATTTTCCTTATAATAATATTCTTCCTTGAACAGTTTTTCTTTATAGATGTATGTATGATAGTTTAAAATGACAAAGCTTCTCTTCATTCTCTAATTCTGGGGAAATTGTGTTTGTACACTGCAAAAATGATCTAAAAATGTCTTAAAGTAAGTGTATTTACCCTTAATTTGAGAAGGTAAATAAGATAATCACCAGTGGAATGAACATTTCTACTATTTAAATAAGTATAAAGTTAGATAATTAGATATTTTGCACTTGAAATAAAAGACTGTAGTTGTTTTTTCTTTTTTAAATGTAAATTGCCTTATTCCATTTGCAAAGTGTATTACTTAACTGAAAAATAAACTTACTTAGATTTCAATTTTTTTGCAGTGTAGCTATTGCTAACATATTTAATAGAAATGGCATAATATTGTCTGTGTTTTCAAACCTGTTGTCTAAGTAAGTGTGAGAGGATGTCAGAGAGGTTTGCTAACTTGATGTGCTCCAACAGGGAGTCTCCTGCTCTGATGGGAAGCACTGCTGTCCTGAGGGCCACCAGTGCAGCTTAGACAGCCGCTCCTGCATCAAGAAAGGTAGATTTCATTGAAGTGTTTGGCTTTTTCCTCTCCCGTGTCACTTTAGTTTATAAAAAAAATAATTTTTATGTTTCTCTTTTTTGCAAAAGAAAATGTGGCAGCAGTTTTGTGTAGTGATGGCGTGTCAGAGTGTCCTGATGAAACAACCTGCTGTGAAACTCCAGAAGGCAAGTGGGGATGCTGTCCAATGCCAAAGGTATGCTATGCAGTAATCAGATTTGTCATGTTTGAAGAGTGTCACACTATGAGCAAGATATGAAGGGGGTAAAAAGCCAAATTATGGATTTGCATGTCCCACGCTGACTTACATCCAACTTATCGCGTCTTTATTGTGTCTTATCGTGATCTGACCTGTGACTTTATTGTCCAAATAGGCTGTGTGCTGCGAGGATAAGGAACATTGCTGCCCTGATGGGACAACATGCGACACTGAACAAATGAAATGCATTTCCATATCTACCAAAAAAGTGCTGCCAATGTGGGCCAAGTTCCCTGCCAGGCTGAGGGCAGACTGGGAGAACCAGAAAGGTCGGCTATATGCGTGCCTGTTACTTAGAAAAACCCCATTGCAGGTTACCTCCGCATTCTGAAGAAAACTGGACCTTTGTGTTTTTCCAGAGGATGAAAAAATAACTGCCAAGGGTGCAGACGGGGATGAAACTGAGAAATCCACTGAAGTAACCACAGCCAATCCAGTTCCTTCCTTGAAAGAGGAAGTGACCCAGTCATCTGTTGCTAAGGCAGATGCAGGTGTGATTTCACTTTGTGTTTCTTGAAAGTATTATCAGGCATTATTAGTCAATTTTTAAATAAAAAGGTTCCACACTGACTTTATTATCTATGTAATGCACAGATGATTGATGAACTAAGGAAAAAAAAAACATTTTTGTAAAGAAGTTGCTGCAAAGTTGCCCCAAACTTTAAATGGAAACCAGACACCCCCACTGTTAAATGTTTAAGCTGCAATAAGTTAATTTTTATGATTAGACTGGAACATGAATATAGACCTTTTAAATTTTACACAATCTGTTCAAATCCTACAGAGTCTGAAGTCATCTTACATGCTCTCCTATATGCAGCTCATTGATCCCTTGGTTACCCCCTTTTCAGATGAGGCCAACAGTTTTTTATTAGAAAATGTCCTGGTATTTTAAAACATTCATAGACCAAAGCATTGCAGGTCCTCCACCTTAATTACAAAAAGTTGCTTTTCCATGCACTCTTTTATTTTTTGATGGGGACTGCAAACACGTCACCATAAAGCCCAAGATGTCCAACCTTGTTTTATCAAACTAAACACTTAATTTGAAGTGAACATAGGGATCAAAGCTGTCCCTTCTTAGGTTCCTGCATCAAAAACAGGTGAACTCAGTCTAAACTTTACAACAAATGATTTGATTATACAAGCCCTTAAAATGAATGTTGTAGATCAAGTCTATCAAGCCCAGTGATACCTTCATGTACCTGCAAAGTTTGTAGTTTTATTGCAAAGATCTACTATGATTTCTAAAT